CTAAAATACTTGCTGTCTGGCCCTTTAAGAAAAATTTTGCGGAGCACTAATTTCAGTGAAGCAATGAAGATCGTGGTGTGGATGACAGGGGAGCATCCACAGTCGGGAGCTGGCTTGGAATGAGCAGCAAGAAAATACACAGCAGTATGAAATCTAGGTCTCCTTGGGGATCCTCCAGACCCAGGGGCGGGGTTGGACACCATCCCCGTTCCTTCTGCTGGTTTCCTCACTTGGCTTCTAGGACGCCTCTGACTCTTCATTGCGCCCCTGCTCTCTGGCCTTTCCGCCTCTTTTGCTGGTTCCTCCTCATCTCTGAGACCTCTAAACATTAGCTGCCTCAGGGCTCAGCTGTTCCCCGTGTCTGTGCTAGCTCCCTAGGGTGCTCCAGGGGTTTGGGGTACTGGTGAAGCAATGTGACCATGAGGTGGCAGCAGCACACACAGGCTTTATTGGGTGACAGAGACACTGACAGGTTTGCAGAGGGAAGGTGGGGGTGTCCCTCATAGCAAGAGTCTGTCCAGAGGCCACACCTCCGCTCAGAAAGGAGGAGTAAGGGAAAGGGCAGCCCCCCCCCACCCCGGCCGCCCCACTGAGAGAAAGGGATTAGAAATGGGGCTTCTGTGTCTGGGTGATGTTCTTCAGTAGCACCATGGGGAGTCCCCCACCACCCACCGACCCCCGGGTCAGAGAGCCCCAAGGGCCAGGAGCAGCTTGAGGTCTTATAACCACAAGGCTCTTATCAGTGACCAGCCAAAGCTGGGAAGGCATGGTATGCAAAGGAGGCAGGCACTACATGACTAAAAATGTGCTTAAAATTTGTTTAAAATAGTTGGATATATATAGGCTGGGCGAGGTGGCTCACACCTGTAATGCCAGCACTGTGGGAGGCTGAGGTGGGTGGGTTGCTTGAGCTCAGAAGTTTGAGACCAGCCTGAGCAAGAGGGAGACCCATCTCTACTAAAAATAGAAAAATTAGCTAAGTGTTATGACAGGCACCTGTAGTCCAGGCTTGCAAGGCTGAGGCTGGAGGATCGCTTGAGCCCAGGAGTTTGAGACTGCTATGAGCTATGACATGGCACTCCACCAGGGCTGGACAGAGGGAGACTCTGTCTCAAAAAAAAAAAAAAATGAGAGAACAAAATAATTGGATATATTAAAACTTGAATTTGACCTTTGAGCTAACGAGTCTGTCTTCAATGAAGAAATAACGCTAGCGGCCATCTTTGACTCCTTTACATTCTCTAGATGATACTAGGTGATCTCACCTAGTTTTAAGGATTTAAATCCCAGCTCTGGGGTGATGACTCCCAAGGTAAGTCTTTAGTACAGACCTTTTCCTCCAGCTCCGCCCTTAAACCCAACTCAGCATCTCTGCTGGGTGTCTATTCATGCCTCAAACTTAACAGATTCAAACCTAGGGCTCCTAGTCTTCCCTCCCAAGCCAATCCCTCCTGCAGTCTTCACCATCCATTTCCAAGTCCCTCAGGCCTGAAATCTTGGTTTCCTCCTGCCACATCAAATCAGTCAGCCCTCCCAGTCAGCTCTGTCTCCAGAATAGATCTGGGGTTCGCTGACTCCTCCCCACCCAGAGCCACCACCACCTTGGCCCCAGCTATCACGATGCCCAGCCAGGATTATCTCAAGCTCTTCCTAACCGGTTTCTGTGTTTTTGCCCCCGCTTTGCCTACAGCCTTTTCTCAACTCAGCAGCCAGACTGATAATAACATAAAGCAAATCCTATAAGTCCTTTGCTGAGAACCCTCCGGTCACAAAAGTAAAAGCCTTTGCCAAGACCTACCAAGCCCTGTGTGACCTGGGCCCTGCTGCCTCTAACATTGCCTCCCGTGACAGCACCAATTGCTCGTCTTCAAACATGCCACACGCATTCCTGGCCCAGCCTTTGCAACTGCTGTTCCCTCAGACTAAAATGTCCTTCCCCAGGTGTCCATGTGGCTCCCACCCACGCTTCCTTGAGGTCATTCATCACCAGCCATTTTCGAAGTAAGGCCTGTCATGTGTCTGAGCTGGTTCCTGGACTGCAGAGCTGTAATTATTGCAACTAGTTAATTATTTTCACACTTGAGATCACCCGATCATACTATGTTTTACAATGGCAGGTTGTGCGTGTTTATTTTGAAACATTTGGACCCTTTCTCCCTCCTGTCGCATCTCTGTGCTATAACTCCTTGACAAACTATTAGAGACCGTGACAATTAAAGTAAGCAAATAATTAAAAACTCTTAAAATTTAACCTATAGGTGGCTGCATCTGCAGAAGGACTTGGGGGACGAACACTGAGGCCATTTGTCTCACATTGTATTAAACGTCCAGGGCTGCCGTAACAATGTGCCACGAACTGGGTAGCCAAAAACGGCAGAAATTTACTCTTTCACAGTCCAGGAGGCCGGAAGTCAGGAGGGCCGTGCTCCCTCTGAGAGTTCTGGGGGAGAATCTTTCCCTGCCTCTTACGGTTTCTGGGGCTCCTGTGTCTAGATGATGTTGCTCAGTAGCACCATTGGGAGTACCCCCGAGACATCAAGCCCCAAGGGCCAGGAGCGGCTTGGGGTCTTATAACTACAAGGAGCTTATCAGTGACCAGCCAGGGCATGGTGTACAAAGCAGGCAGGCTGTAAATGACTAAAAATTTGTTTTAAATAATTAGATACATAGGCCCGGTGCAGTGGCTTAGGCCTGTAACCCTAGCAGCCAGGAAAGGATGCATTGTCAACCAGGTCACCTGTGGCATCTGGGGTTCAATCTTCTGCAGGTTTCTGAGAGGCAGAGTAGAATATGAGCCTCAAAATTATTCCACCTGGGGCCGGTGGGAGCCGACCTGCCTCATTAAAGATTGAATTGTGAATTCAATCTGTGAATTGAATCACAGAAAAAGATGTACTGAAATACCCACCCCTGGTACAGCGGAATACAGAGTGTGAGCTTATGTAAGGATAGTGTCGTGGCAGATGTAACTAGTTAAGATGAGGTGGGCTCTTAATCCAGTGTGCCTGGTATCCTTACAAAGAGAACATCACGGTGAGGGACAGACTCATGGGGAGAAGATGGCCCTGGGAACACGGAGGCAGGCTGGAGTTATGCTGCCACAAGCCAAAGTGGGCCAATGGCCACCAGAAACCAGGAGGAAGCAGGGTAGAGCCTCCTCCACAGGCTTCAGAGGGAGGGCGGTCCTATCAACACCTGGATTTTGGACTGCTAGCCCCCAGAACTGTGAAAGAATAAACTTACGTTGTTTTAAGCCACCTGGTTTGTGGGCCTTAGTATAGAAGTCCTTGGGAAACTAGTATAAAATGTATTTACCAATGGCCTGTATGCTGTGAGGGCTGCCTCCAGCAGCCATCCCTGACACAGCTCTGTGGCCTTTGCAACCAGCTAGTCGTGACCCCAGGGCCAGGGAAAAAATAAACAACAGGCAGAGAGCTAGTTAAGAAGCCTTCAAGAAGCGTGTGCCCAGGTTTAGAACAATTTGCCATCAAATTCATAGCACGGATTGGTTTGCCTCCCATGCTACATACGATGAAGCTGCAGCTCTCCTGGAGAAGTGTGTCACGGAAACTTAGTCTGGAAAGAATCCGGTTAAATTAGCACAAGCAATTCTTGATTAACCCAAGAGGAGGAGAACCAGAAGTTCCTGGATAGATGTAAGTGAGATGTGCTCCCCAGACTGGTTTTTGCCACTCTTGAAGCTCAGGACACACCACCCCAAAATATGACTGTAGGAGATCAGAATTTCATACCCCCAAAATATACTTCTTTGACATATTTTGAGCTTATTCTGAGAAACTGCAGACACAAGAATAGTTCTGAACAGCTGCCTTTTTCTAAAGGAAATTTACATCTATAAGGGGAATGTGTGTTATTTAGTAGTAAAATATCTGTATAAGGAAGAGGGTTGCTTTTATTAATACCGGACTTTTAAACATGACTTTTGTTACCTGAGAGACTTCATCTAGGTGACAGGACGTTTACTCACCGCACAATTCCTCCCCTCACACTTGTATACCTCCCCTCACTCCAGCAGGGGCTGGGAACCTACAGCCTTAGAGTCACATGTGGCCCTTCAGATCCCTCAACTGAATCTAAATTTGGGTTCAGTTAAAAGCATCCAGAAGTACCACCCCAAGGCCACAGGTCCCCCATCCCACTGGCCCTTCTTTGAATCTCTTGTGTTATGGAACTCCTAGGCCTATGCACATAATTAAACAGTTTTTCTTTTGTTAGTCTGCTTACTGTTGGCTTATTTTATAGACTCAATTATCAAATCTTCAGAGAGTGGACAGAAAGTTTTACTCTCCCCTACTCCACCTCCCAGACAATAGCTCTTCACCTGAACTGTCAAAACAGTAGAAATCAACCGAGTAGAAGCCACCAGGGGTGAGGAATAAAATGGCAGATAAAAGAGGGAGATGGGGAATTGTCCCACCCTCTTGCTGTAAGAAGCTGCAGAGATCGTGGCAGCAGCAGTGAACATTTCCCATGCCATCGCCGTATGGCAGGCACTACTCTGAGTGTTTCACACAGACTCGTATCCTTCTAATAACAGTCTGAGCTCTGTCTTCTTACAGAGTAGAAATTAGTCCATGAGGGACAAGGAGTCCATCTGGACAAGCCAGACGTTCTGACTCCCACTCCAGAATTCATCACACTATCCAGGCTTTCTTCTCAGCCCTGAAAAATGGTCCTTCGTTCGCTACTATAGTTCCCCAGATAATAGTATTTTAAAACTAATTTCTCATGATGGTTTTTGAAACAGGTTCTTCAAACGTCACCCTGAAGTGGGGGGAGCAGATATCTTTCCCTAATCTCTTTCTCTTTATAGCTGGCACATTCTTTCACTTCAAAAGGTTTAATTTTTTATTTCACCATGTATTCAAAGAAAAACAGATCCCAAATGCCATTTTTTCACAATTTACTTCAAAGAATAGATTTGAAAAATCACACTCCTCCCTATTAACCCAAAGGAAGCTGAGGTTGTACAATGATGCTTTTGGTCTCAGGTGAATCTTTTATTATTTCAAATTGAGACAAACATTTTTTTTCAAAGACAGTAGCACAGTCATTGTCACAAGCATGTTAATATGTCTATTTTGCAAGAAAGAATATACTACAAGTCGTGCTATTCATTTTTTCAATAGCATTCTGGCAAAAAATAAAGACATTTCCAATTGTGTCAAACATTTAGTGAATAATGAGTTCTACTCTCTGCCTTTGGGTAAATAAATGGTGCCTCTCAGTGAAGTGCTAGAAAATACACGATGTGAGGGCTGCTTCTTAACACTGCCCATTGCTCCAACAACCATTAGCCTCTTTTGCTGAACTTCTCAGCTATTTTCTGTAGCTCCAAATCCATTGCAGCCAAGTTCTCAAGTTCTTTTTCCTGGAGAATACAGAAGAGTGAAGGTATGAGATCCAGAATCAATTTGTTTTGCCATTGTTTGAAGGAGTATGAACGAGAAGAGGAATTTTATGATATGTTAGAAACTTCGTGAGTCAACCCTACAGCAGTGGTGCTCAAGGCATCACCAGCATCATCAAGGGAACTTGTTGCAAATGCAGATGCTT